CTGATTTGTATAATCCTTAAATTTTTTCTTAATCTTTAGATATTTATTATTTATAGAAGTTGATTACACTGAAGTTGATAGATTTGGTAAAAAGAAAAGTTATAATAATGAATTTTATTATTTCAGGTTCTGGTGGAGCATGGAGAGCTAGTGATGGGTATTTTATGCAAGAAGACCCTTGGAGCCTCCTCTGGTTCTATGTTGCACGTTGCTTGGATGGAATTGGGACATGAAATTGCAGGAAGATTCTATGGTAACATTCAGACTGTCATCAACAACTGGCTACTTCTAGAGGGCATGAGCATTGGTATTGGAGACACCATTTCTGATCCTGCAACCTACAGAATTATTCAGGACACCATTCGCAAAGCTAAGGAAGATGTAATAGAGGTGATTCACAAAGCCCATAATGATGAGCTTGAGCCAACTCCAGGTAATACTTTGAGGCAGACTTTCGAGAACCAAGTAAACAGGATTCTGAATGATGCTCGAGACAAAACTGGAGGATCGGCCAAGAAGTCACTCACAGAATACAACAATCTAAAGGCAATGGTAGTGTCAGGGTCAAAGGGTTCCAACATTAATATTTCTCAGGTTATTGCCTGTGTAGGTCAACAGAACGTTGAAGGTAAAAGAATTCCATTTGGTTTCCGTAAAAGGACCTTGCCACATTTCATCAAAGATGATTATGGTCCTGAATCCAGAGGATTCGTAGAGAATTCATACCTTGCCGGTCTGACACCATCAGAGTTCTACTTCCATGCTATGGGAGGTCGAGAGGGTCTAATTGATACTGCTGTAAAGACTGCTGAGACAGGATACATTCAGCGACGTTTGATAAAGGCTATGGAGAGCGTGATGGTCAACTATGATGGAACAGTAAGGAACAGTGTGAGTCAGGTGATTCAGCTTAGGTATGGTGAAGACGGTCTGGCAGGTGAATATGTAGAATTCCAGAAGATGCCTACAGTTAAACTCTCAAACAGACGTTTTGAAGACAAGTACAGATTTGATGTGACCAATGAAAGGTATTTGCGGCGACTATTTAATGAAGAGGTTGTCCGTGAACTAATTGGGTCCCCAGTTGCCATCAATGTTCTTGAAGAAGAATGGCAAAAACTCCAGGAAGATAGAGTTGGTCTTCGGCAGGTGTTCCCTAAGGGAGACACAAAGGTGGGTGTTGAGGACATTTAGTGGTTGTAATGAAAAAAATGCTTACTTGGTGTTATGTTCATATGGCTGAAGTAAGGATTATTGATAGTTACTGATCATGTTTACATCTCTTTACAGGTGGTGTTGCCATGTAATTTGGAAAGAATGATTTGGAATGTGCAGAAGATTTTCCACATCAATAAGCGCACACCAACTGATTTAAACCCAGTAAGGGTAGTTGAAGGTGTGAGGGAAATGTTGGCAAAGTGTAACATTGTGACGGGTGAAGATCGTATTAGTCTGCAGGCCAACGAGAATGCTACCTTCCTTTTCCAGTGCTTAGTGCGATCAACACTCTGCACAAAGAAGGTTGCAGAAGAATATAAACTAACATCTGAATCCTTCAACTGGCTTGTTGGTGAAATTGAGACTAGATTCCATCAAGCGATTGTAAGTATATTTTGCTCTTAAGCATCTTTTAATTTTTATTTTGATGAATGATTAAATGTGGAAAAAATTAGAAAGGTCTTAAATGAGATGGGAGGTTTCTTAAGATTTCAATTCCAACCAGGCCAATCCTGGAGAGATGGTAGGAGCGTTGGCTGCCCAGTCCCTTGGTGAACCTGCCACTCAGATGACACTGAACACTTTCCATTTTGCTGGTGTGTCCTCCAAGAATGTAACCCTTGGTGTACCCAGGCTAAAGGAAATCATCAACATTAGTAAAAAACCTAAGGCTCCATCACTCACTGTGTTCTTGGTGGGAGCTTCTGCCCGAGATGCTGAGAAGGCCAAAAATGTCCTTTGTCGATTGGAACACACAACATTACGGAAGGTGTGTATTGTATGTCACATCTTTCTAGAGTTAAGAGATCAGTGAAATAAGTATCAGAATAACAAGTTGCATGTTAATTTATGTAAATTAGCAACCATAGGTACTTATTTCTTTATTATCTCATATTCAGGTGACATCCAACACTGCCATCTACTATGATCCTGACCCACAAAACACATGCATTACAGAGGATCAAGAATTTGTTAATGTGTATTATGAGATGCCTGACTTTGATGTCTCTAGAATTTCCCCATGGCTGCTGCGTATTGAACTTGACCGCAAGAAAATGACAGGTAAAGTTAGGAAGGATTGGCATGCTTGCATGCATATAAATACGGGAAATCAATGAAAGTTTGATAGTGTGGAAGAAACAAACTATCATGAAAAACAGCAATTCTTATGTACTTGTTTTAATTAATAGGTAAGTACAGTAAGTCCCCAACTTAAGAACATAATGGGGACCGAGAGGCTGTTTGTAAGTTGATTTGTTTGTATGTCGAAAGTCGGGTCTCCATTACCTTTTTTTCCCATTATTTTAAAGTTTTGTTTACATTAAGAATACCTGTAAATAAATCCTAATAAGTACGACATACCTTATACAGTACCAGACTCTTGAATTATATTCGCACCCGGGAAATTTGAAGTTTGCTAGCATCTTTCAAATAATTTTTTGGACTTTAGTACTTAAAAAATTGTTTGTATGTATGGAATGTTCATAAGTAGAATGTTCTTAAGTAGGGGACTATCTGTACTTGTTTTAATTAATAAATTTTTTACAGTTAAGTGATTCATATTTCTCATCTGTATGTGATTTTGGTTCCAGATAAGAAATTGACCATGGAACAGATCTCCCAAAAGATCAATTCAGGTTTTGGAGATGACTTGAATTGTATCTTCAATGATGACAATGCCGAGAAACTTGTGCTCCGTATCCGTATTATTGTTGGTGATGATAAATTAGCTGATGATGCTGAGGAACAGGTCAGTAATTTACAAGATTTTTATCTTTTAAATGTTTAACAACCATACATACATTACACAAATAAATTTGATTTTATGAAGAAAATGTATTATTGAAAAGTGCTTTTTTCATAAACAGGTGGACAAAATGGAGGATGACACATTCCTGAGATGCATTGAAGCCAACATGCTTAACGACTTGACGCTCCAGGGCATTGAAGCTATCACCAAAGTGTATATGCACTTGCCTCAGACTGATGAAAAGAAACGTATCATTGTAAATGATCAAGGTGAGTTTAAGGCAATTGCAGAATGGTTGTTGGAAACTGACGGAACTGCACTCATGAAGGTACTCTCAGAACGTGATGTCGATCCAGTAAGAACATCCTCCAACGACATCTTGGAAGTATTTGAGGTCCTTGGTATTGAGGCTGTGCGAAAGTGTATTGAGAAGGAAATGAATGCTGTGCTGATGTTCTATGGTCTGTATGTAAACTACCGTCACCTTGCTTTGCTTTGTGATGTGATGACAAGCAAGGGCCATCTTATGGCTATCACCCGTCACGGCATCAACAGACAAGACACTGGAGCCCTGATGAAGTGCTCCTTCGAAGAGTCTGTTGACGTGTTGATGGAGGCTGCTTCATGTGCTGAAGTTGACCCCGTTCGAGGCGTGTCTGAAAACATCATGCTGGGACAGCTGCCTAAGATCGGCTCTGGTTCGTTCGATCTCGTGTTGGATGACGAGAAGTGCAAAATGGGAATGGAGATTCCTATGCCGGGAGCAGGCATGATGATGGGTGGAGGCATCTTTGGTGCTGCATCACCATCGTCTGGTATGACCCCAGCCCAGACCCCATGGGCTTCAGGAGCGACCCCATCCATGTCACCATATGGTGCATGGACACCTGGTGTAGGAAGTGGCATGACTCCAGGAGGACCGGCTTTCTCACCTGCAGCAGCCAGCGAGACAACAGGCTTGTCTCCTGGGTATTCTCCAGCTTGGTCGCCTCAGCCTGGCAGTCCGGGATCCCCAGGGGGTATGAGCCCATACTTCCCAAGCCCTGCTACGGCTCTCTCGCCCTCCTACTCGCCATCGTCTCCGGCGTATCAGCCCACGTCGCCAAGCATGACGCCGGCGTCTCCGGGCTACTCTCCAACTTCCCCCACATACAGTCCAACCAGCCCACAGTACTCACCGACTTCCCCTCAGTACTCCCCGACCAGTCCCTCCTATTCCCCAACCTCCCCATCCTACAGCCCCACATCTCCCTCTTATTCCCCAACCTCACCATCCTACTCCCCGACATCACCTTCATATTCCCCTACATCTCCTTCCTATTCTCCCACATCTCCCTCCTACTCCCCAACCTCGCCCTCCTATTCCCCAACAAGTCCCTCCTATTCCCCAACCTCTCCAAGTTACAGCCCAACTTCCCCGTCCTATTCTCCTACCAGCCCCTCTTATTCACCCACGTCCCCCTCATACTCCCCTACCAGCCCTTCATACTCCCCTACATCCCCGAGCTATGCTCCCAACTATTCCCCATCCTCACCTGGATATTCCCCTACATCGCCATCCTACTCCCCTACCAGTCCTTCATATTCCCCCAGTTCGCCCCAATATTCCCCAGCATCGCCCTCCTACTCGCCTTCCTCTCCCAAGTATTCCCCAACCAGCCCCAACTATTCCCCAACCAGCCCGACCTATTCGCCGGGTTCACCCTCCTATTCCCCCAGCTCTCCGAAGTATTCTCCAACGAGCCCCACGTATTCCCCCACCTCTCCGTCCTACTCGCCCTCCTCCCCCAAATATTCCCCCACCTCACCCAACTACTCGCCCTCCTCGCCCAAGTACTCCCCTACCTCGCCCACGTACAGTCCCTCCAGTCCTCAGTACAGTCCATCGAGTCCTAAGTACTCGCCAACCTCCCCGACGTACAGTCCTTCCAGCCCCAAGTACAGTCCCACAAGTCCAACCTACAGCCCCACCACCCCCGGTTATAGCCCAACCTCCCCGCTCTATTCCCCGAGCTACGAGGAGGACGAGGAAGAGCAGCGAAGAAAACAGAAGAAGAAGTCTAAACGCTAAACACTGGGTGTTGAGCATAGCACAGGAACTGTCCGAATATATTCCCTTATTTTAGTGCTATTATTCGAGTTGCTATTTTTCTGTTCTTTATGAATGATAACTATTTTACTCATTCAGTTTCTAAACAAGAAGAGCGTATTTGTATACTAAGAGAAGGGATTGATGCTCCTTAAACCTTAAAAAGTTTTCATAGCAAGTTATTGACATTATTTTTATTTTTGTAAATAATGGATATTATAAGCATAGCCAGGATAAATGTAATTTTATCCATTAAAATGTGTTAATGTATCTTATTTTAGTTCTGAAGTGTATTCAACATGTATTTTTTTGTCTTTACCTGCCTTCTTGCAGTTAGTTTCTTGGTCAGATTTACCGAGATTTTTAAATAGTGAAGCTATATCAATAAAAGCTTTGTGTAACACGGGCATGGTATCTCCATAACATGTAGAATTGATATTCAACAAAGAAAAAAACCCAAATTGTGTGTTTTTATCCTCGCTAATTATTTACAAAAATGCAAGACTAATATAAAATAAAACATTGGCTGTCTGGTTTAATCATGCTAAGTAATTAATATCATAGTAAGAAGGAAAAAGAGCATGTCGAAAGTCCAAGGAACATTGACAAGAAATCTTAAAAGCTCACTGTTGGGGATATGTAATGTTCGCTATACCTTTGTGTTGAGAAATGTATTTTTAGATGAGGGATCCCGAAAACTAGAAGGGAAAATCAAATAAGATTTCCCCCCCCCAACCTTAGAGTTTTTGGGAATTCTTTTATATCAATGGTATCATTGACATGATCCCCCAATCCCTTCTATCCACCACCTAAGGTTTGAGAGCCGTGCTGCAAGGATGAAAGGCTGACTTTGTGCCAGTTCTGAACGGCCTGAGGGAGCCATGGGCACGGTATTCCCCTGATTTGTTACCTAGCCCTTACCCCTCAAGGGGACCCTGAGGGGTGGACTGTTTTTCTCCCAGACATACTCCAGGCTTACCATGGCCAATAATGAAAATGTTTTACCCTTATTAGGGGCAATGAGGCTTGCCCCTTCATCAAATAACCCCGACAATTCAAACTCTCCCGATTCCCTGACCCCAGGCTCTCCTTTGATCACGGCTCCGAACACTGCAACAACTACCCCCTCAATAATGCCTACTAGTACAGTAGTCAACACTCAACCCCCAAGAGACATTTCCACTCTCCCAACATGCTCAACTTCAACACCTCTACCCCCACAACCTTCTACATCAACTACCCAATCCTCTCTTATTAATACCTTACAGCCTTATTTGCCCACCTCTCCATAACACTAATTCACTCAACACTACTCCCTCTTCAACGCGCCTCCGCCCTTCTACTATCCCTATCTTTACAACAATCTTAAATACTCTATTTAGCCCAGCCAAATGGGACCGATTTTTCGTGATCCCTCCCACAGCTCCCTACTCTGACAACACCCTTCTCTTCCAGCAATGTCTCCAAAAACAAGTAGGCGAAGTCTCTGTAGCCGACCCGATCACTCCCGTCTCGTCACAGTAACCTCTGAAAACCAAGCTATAGCATTAGCAAACCTAACTGATCTATATGGTAATCCCACCCTTGCAGAACCCCATCCAACCCTCAATACTTGCACCGGAACTGTGTCAATCTCCCTAGCAAATTGTCCAATCTATGACAAAGATTGGTCAGATTGTGGAAAAGACTTGCTCGCCTGTCTCACAGACTATGATGCGACATCAGTACAATGCTACTCCATTCCTCCCAGAGGTCATCGTAAGAAACCCACTAACATCGCCAAAATTACTTTCCGTAGACATGACCTCCCCTTTAATGTTTACATAGGAGGAGAATCCCTCCCTGTCCGACCATACCAACCTCCTCCTCGTCAGTGCCAAAATTGTTGGCATTTAGGACACTCGGCTAAACATTGCCGTTCCAAAGCCAGATGCACTCTATGTGCCCAACCTTGCCATACTCGATCAAACTGCTCTGCACAATCACGCACATGTGCCAACTGTGGCGGACCCCATAATGTATTTTATAGGGGCTGCCCCACCTACAAATTTGAGTCTTGAGGTAGCAACTCTCAGATTCATAGTTGGACTCACACTACGTGAAGCCAGGCAGGAAGCACGTCGACAAGGTTTTTCTTTTACTCCCTTCTCCAGTAATATTGCTCATTCTACCACTTCTCGTACCCCCCCCCCCTCCATCTAACTCCCCCTCTTCTACCTCCTACCTTCCCCAGTCAAATTCTTTTACCATCCTAAATCCAGACACTCCAATCTCCCCTACAACCCCAACACTTTCCTCTCTCCCTCCCCGCAAAAGACAGAACAAACGTTCCACCCCCTCTTCCCCTACCACACAATCATCTCCACCTTCCTTTGCCCCTACTCTTGAGACACCATCTTCTCTTCCCCCCCTCACAAGAAATCCTTTATCTCACAAAACTCCCCAACCAACTCTATTGAAGAAATTCTTGAAAATATTCAAGAATACTTAATCAAAACTAACACTCAACCTTCAAATCCTATAACTCCTGCTCCCTCCACACTCCCAAGTGACTGCCGATATCCACTCTCCTCTAAACGATATCCCCCCTACACCCTATCCTCCTACCCCCTCCCAACACAGTCCTCCCCCCCGACTCCAGCCCCACCCACATTAACCCTCACACCATCCCCTCTGTCCCTTCCACTCCCTCCTGGATACACACGTGAATCCCTTATATCACAAATATCCCCTTCCTCAGACCCTCCACCTCCCAATACCCCTCCTGACACAACAACTCTCAGTCCTTATCCCACCCTCTAGCCCCTTCTCCTTCAAATTCTCCAACACGTACTAGTCTATATCACTAAATCAACGAAAGTATAACTATCCTTCATTGGAACATTCGCGGTTTCCGCTCTCACAGACCCGACCTTCGTCATATCCTTTCCTCTTATAACCCATCCATTGTATGCCTTCAAAAGACCTTTCTTACACATCCTCCAATACCAATCCCCAATTATCATTTTATCTCTTCCCCACACTCCCTTTATGTCTCGCCCATACTTATCAACCAGAAAACACCTTATGTCATACCTCCCTTTCAAACCAATGTCCCTTGCACAGTTATTCGTATCTTTCTTCACCGCTGGATCACAGTGATTTCAGTCTACTTCTCCCCTTCCCACCCCATTGACTTTGTTGCTTTTGAAAATCTAATTTCCCAACTTCAACCACCTTTTCTCATAGTAGGTGATTTTAACTGCCGCCACACTCTTTGGGGTGATTCTATCACCAACTCCCGAGGCCGATCTCTAGAGCGCCTCCTCTGCACAGCTGACCTTATTATTCTAAATTCAGATCGCCCCACACACTTTGATACACGCACGCAATCTTTTTCATGCATTGACCTCTCTCTATGCTCCCCTTCTCTTCATTTAGATTTCCACTGGTCAGTTCTAGACCACTTTCCAATTCTCCTTTCTCCTACTTCATATGTACCACTTCTTAACTCCCCACGCTGGTGCTTTGATAGAGCCGACTGGCGTACTTTCACTTCACTCTCTGCTCTTTATATCCTTCCATCCTGCCTCTCATCCATTTCAGAAATGATACAGTGTTTCACAACTGCAGTCCTAAGAGCTGCCCAAACAGTTATTCCTTGAACCTCAAGACCCTATACCTCCAAATGTGTTCCATGGTGGAATTCTGATTGCACTAAAGCACTTCGCTTAAAACGTGCAGCCTGGAACAGTTACCGCTACAAACGAGATACCTCAAATCAACTATCAGCCCTTATCTCCTTTAAAAGAGCATCTGCCTGTCTTCGTCGTACAATCCGGAATAGTAAAACAAATAGCTGGCGAAATTATGTTTCATCAATTACATCCTCTACATCTATCTCAAATGTTTGGCGCTGAATCCATAAACTATCAGGCAAACATCCCCCCCCATCCAGCCCCCGTCCTCCATATTCGAGATACCCTCATTTCTGATCCTCTCCAAGTCGCTAATGAACTGGGTGATTATTTCAGCCACCTTTCTCCACACTTCTCTTCTATTAAGACCATTAGAGTACGTACCCCCATTATCTTCACCCCATCTTCCGCTGAGTCCTATAATGCTCCTTTTTCTTCCTCTGAACTCAATGCTGCCCTACAATCGTGCCGCAACACTCACGAAGGCCCTGACGGTATTCACATATAGACATATATTACATCCGCATTTGCACGCCATGAATCCGTACTAACTATATTTTTTTATCTAGAAAAAGCATATGATACGACATGGCGATACCATATTCTCCAACAATTGTCCTCTCTAGGCATACATGTCTTCATAAAGTCTTTCCTCTCCCAACGCACTTTCCAGGTCAAAATTGCCTCTGCCACATCATCTTTCTTTCCTCAAATCGAAGGTGTCCCACAAGGCAGTGTGTTCAGTACCAATTTATTCCTTGCTGTTAATGACATTGTCACAGTTTTACCACCAGGAGCCCGGTCATCACTATATGTTGATGATTTAACCATCTATGCCTTTGGCACATCTATACCAAATCTCTACCAATTTCTTCAGTCTGCAATCTCATCAGTATCTTCCTGGGCCACAAACCATGGCTTCCGCTTTTCTACCTCCAAATCTTTCTCCATCCTTTTCTCTCGCACATGTGTAGGTCCCCTACCTCCACTTTTCTTATATGGCACTCCACTCCAATATCCTTCCTCTGGCAAATTCCTAGGTGTTGTTTTTGACTCCAAACTGTCCTGACGAGACCATATTCTTTACATTAAAGAAAGAGCTCTCCGCCGTCTTCGAATCTTAAAAACTCTATCCCATATATCATGGGGCTCAGATCGCAAAACTCTCCTTCATCTTCATGTTACCTTGATTCTCTCCACTCTTGCTTATGGATGCCTCAACTTCTCTCCTTGCCCATCTTGATACAATCCACTACTGTGGTCTTCGCTTAGCCCTAGGTGCCTCCTCCCCAGTTGAGAGCCTGTACACTGAATCAGGCATACCATCTCTCTCTCGACAGCATATCCTTCTTTCTCTCCGGTGCTATGCTCGATTACAACAACTTTCCCTCACCAAATTAACTATCCCACGATCCCTACTTCCTACCTTTGTTTCTTCTCCACATTTACCTACTCCTTTCTCCATTCACATGGATACCCTCCTCTCCCATTCCCCTTTTCCCCATCTCCGACCTCTTCCGTTTTCTGTCCATTCTGTCCCTCCATGGCCTATACCTTACCCCCGCATTTGCTCCTCTGTTTTCCCTGACCCACCAAAATCAAATATTCTCCCCGCTGTCATCCTCACCCATTTCCTTAACCATGTTTCCATTCATTCCACCAGTATTCATGTTTATATTGATGTCTCCAAATCCACTTCCGGTGCTGGTTTCGCTGTAATATTCCCAACTCGCACTTTCAAATACCCCCTCTCTCCTGAATCCAGTGTCCTTACTACAAAACTA